GCTTAAGTTTCGTCGGAACGAATTTACGGAAAATTAACTAACGAACGGAGACGTAACAATAAGAATAGCCCTAAGTACCTCTCACAAGTTAATATACATGCTAAGGATAAGCATATGGATAAGCACTTAATGCCAGACTAAAAAAACCCACATTAGTTTAAGCTGATACGACAGCATTAAAAGGATATTTATGTAAATGCTCTCGATTAATGTAAATTTAATGAATGTGAAAAATACATATGGAATTGTTTGCCATTTGCAGGACTTTGCAAAAACGAAAAAAGAGATAACGTATTCACACGAAAATAAATATAAGTACCTACAAGGACATTGCTCTAAAAGAGGTTGGAGTAAATGCAAGATACTCTGACCCTCATGTAGTTAAATTCGTATTCATCTGAAACAGCTACCATCTATCCTATTTGCGATTTTTATGTAACAAAATATGGGTTTAAAGTAATATTTTAAAGTAAATATAGGAATGATCAACATATTTATGCAGTTTTGCAAATTTATCAACTATAAAAGCATTTTGTTAAAGGAGGGCATCAGTAAAATCGCAAATGCTTAAAACTTCACTACGAAAAAACAAAGACTTGCGATTAATTTTCAACATAAAATTTATGTTTTGCTCCTATTTTTATTTTATCATAATTTAAAATGTTTCAGTTCATATTTAGCACAATTGGTAAAGGCATTCCGTTTTTGTCTTATACTTTGGATGTTCACAAACTGAATAATTGTTATATTCCTCCGATCGCAGTGAGATAGAGGGAGCTGAATTTTTCGAGTTTGTTGTTTACTAACATTACGGACGGTAGAGTATTGTCTCTAATAAGAAAACCATAAGGGTCATGTGGCATTAAATGTGTTAGTAACCTCGCGAGTTGATTACCCGAAAGTTTCAGATCTTTGAATTGAAGTTTGATTTGACGCGTGGGTTAGAATTATCAGTGTAGTAATAAAGTTGTTAAAACTACGGTCACAAGTCAGTATACAATTACATTATGGTAAGTTATATTTGACAAAAATCTAAACTATATGAACAGTATTGATGTAATGTGTAAATAAACTGTTAAACTAAGATTTTTAAAAAATGTACCATATACTAAGTTCTATAAAAAATATTACTGACAGTAATGACGTTTGAAGACAAACTTAGTATCTACTTTCATATATTTTTTCACGGCATATATATACGTAGCATCACAGTGTGTGTGGTACTGGTTTGTTTATAGTTAAGCACAAACCAACAAAGCTACGCAGTTGGTTATGTGTGCTGTTTTTCCCTCCACGGGTGTCGAAACCCGATTTCTAGCTTTATATGTCCGCAGCTTTATCGCTGCGAAGTGTGTGGTACTAGTAAAATACGTTTCAAAAACACTAAGGTAGTACTTGAATATTTTTTTTTATAGGGTGACCCAATATCCCGTTACAATATAATCGACAGTCCAGTACACTAATAAAATGAAAAAAGACAAGTAACATTTTTTTTACTTTTAAATTGATTGCATTTTTCATATATTGTAATATTTCTTTCTTAACTATTGTTAACCTGATCTACAATTTTACATTGTCTTAAAAAAAAGAGGAATAATTTGAAAACTAAAACTTTCTTCCAAAAACATGGATTAGCAAGCTTGAATTAAACAATATTCTTAACAATTTCTGAAGAAACTTCAAAATGCCAATATATATATATTTTTTTGCTTCCAGGTATTAAAAAAGTCACAATTAACAGGGTCCTCCAGACTTCAAAATCCTACTATTCTAGATCTTTTTTGTTCACAAGTTTGTAACCTTACTTCTTTGTCTGACCAAAATTGCAAACATTTTTTTAATCAGTTTGAAATAAAGATTTAAGATTGACACCTTGTTTTAAAAGAAACAATATTCTGGCATGAGAAGCAACAAAATAGTAGTAGGACTACCATAAGTGTGTGCAGGCCTGCCGACGGGGGTGGGGGGATGCCCAGGAGCCTGGGCGAATGAAACCTGGTTATGCTGTAAAGCCCGCAAAACATCTTTAGGCAATATCTTCATTTAATGATAAAAACCATAGTTTTTGGCTTTTCTTTGCATATAGACACTTGATACATTAAGAATGACTGAAATAATAATTGGAGTAATAATCAATATGTATTTGTTACTTTATAGATTTAATAGATATTTGTTGTTACTTTATTAACGTTTTTACGCTTATACTGTGAGGTAAAAACGGCTGCTGCTATGATTTTGTCTGGTTTATGAGCTCGTTGCTGTCCTATTTTTGGATCTTCTCTTTAATAAATTCTTGAAAATGTTAAAAAAAGAGAGAGAGAGAGAAAAGTGACCCAGTGAGGATGTTTCCCCCCCAGGCCCATGCTGGCTCTCGACATTCCTGAGTGTGTGTGTGTGTTTGTGGGTTGGAGATTATTAATGTTGGTATTGATAAACTCAAATACAGCTATTCATGAAAAGTCCAAATTTCAGTCAGCCCATAACTCGACTAAGCCAATGGGTTCCTACGCCTGTGGTAAAATTCGAAAAAAAACCTCTATCATTAAATCTGATGAATGCTAGAGAAGTTCCAAGATTTATTTGATCATTCAATTTTCAATAAGTTCCCTTCTTACCCATTTCTCTCAAGAGAAAAAAGTTCATAAGTATTAACTTTTCCCTGCAAGATAACCCATTCTCAGGACCAACCTTAGTATCCCTCCTCTGAACACTTTCCAGTAAGTCAATATACCTTCTTACATTAGAAAAAAACTGTACATGGCATTCCAAATAAGGCCTAACTAGAGTTTTGTCTGTAAATACAACCTAAAATTATATTATCTTTTCTACTAGCCAGAGAGTACTGCTTCAATGGTTTTAACAGTTTACCCATTACTATAGGCCAAGATCCTTTTCTCCACTCATGCTATTGTGTGGGTTCGTATATATATATATATATTAAACACATGGCCCAAATCATGACTACCCCCCCCCCCAAAAAAAGACTTACAATTAATTTTCAACATAAATTTATGTTTTGCTCCTATTTTTATTTTATTATAATTTATTGTTTCTCAGTTCATATTTGGCACATGATAAAACCTTGCTCTTATTATAATTAAATGTAATTTTCAGATTATTTTTTGTACTTACCAATTGATCCCTGTTATCCTGAAACACTTTGATGTCCTCAGTAGAGCTAGAAATACCCAATAATTTAATGTCATTAGCAAATTTAGCTATACTCAACGCTAGGTTGAATTTTGTTCTGATATATGTAGGTAGCTTGTTTTGAGGCACTCCACTAATAACAAGGGCTCCTACCAACTCCTTAAATAACAATAACTTGCTTTCTCTCATCCAACTACTATACAATTAACTAGTCTTTCCCTAACCCCTACTAATGTGATTATTTTAGCTGAATCATTTGTATAGCACCTTGTCAATAGTTTTCTAAAAATCGAACTACACCAAGTCCATGCTTTTCCATCATCCCAATAACAAGTAACAACTTAAAAAAGAGATAACATATTAGTAAGGCAAAATTTCATTTTAATACACCAACTAATGTACTACACTTTAGGTCTAATTGCAGTTGTAACTTTATTTCTAGACCCTAGGTCCATCATCATACAAATTGAAGCCTATATTATAGGCATACTTAGACCTATGCTAACTATTAAACTAGGCATTGCACTGGGACT